CGCAAAAACTAAAAAATATATAATATATTAAATTGAATATTGATAATCTTYGATAATAAAACTTGTTTATCTTATCATAATAATAATATTATATTATTTTAACCGATATGTAACTGTCTAGTTACAGAGCCCAAATCGGATCTGCAGTTTACAGGTCCGGTAGCCRATAATTWACAGAGCCGGTAACTTTACCGAGCGTTCAAGCAACACCTAATTTTATTTACAGATCCGTTAATAGATCTATAAGTAGTTACAGGACGTTTATGCAACCCGCCAAACTCCTTAGTTTTTATAACAGTGTTTACAAGTTTATAACCACCGTCCATCATGTTGTAATATTGGAACCATAGCGTCCATAGCCATATTGATATGTCTATGGAGTATGGACTATGATTAGAAGTATATTAAATTATATTTATAATATGTAATACGATATATAAAGATGCTTATCTGATTATGTTTACTTTTACTTACTCGGTAAAATCTATATACAGATGAMAAATTCCAACGTTCTAGTTACAGCACGCAGAATGCAGATAACTATTTTCTTGCGATTATGTATTGCTTTATGTCAATGTTAATGTTGCTTTAGTGGTTAAACTTAAACGGTAATAGTGTAAGGTGTAACGGATACCTATTAAATAAAATAATAATTTAGCTCAGTGATTGTATAGCATGGAAAAAAGATTGTCGTACTGTGCGACCGTGGGTAAAACGATAAGAACACTTTTATTTTAATAAATAAACTACACGATCCGAAATAACGAAGACGAATTAAGTAGACTAGGTACCTACTACCTGCCAACAATCTAGGAAGTTACAGTCGTTACTGAATAGAGAATGAACGGTGAACACTAAAATACTAAAATACAAAACACTAACGAGTAACAGAACTAACAAAGTATTAAGCGACAACAAAAAAGAAACACCCGGTACTCAGTAGGCGCCAGGCAGCAAGCGGTAGTTGTGTGAAAATGGACATGCGTATATGCGTATCAAATATTATCGACTTTGTTAACGTCGTGACTACGGAGTACGGACTGACGACTTATCAACATACTATTATGTTGATTATAATATGTTATAGCTGAAATATTAAACTAGGTAGGTATAATTAAATTTTTATTAATTAACAGGCTCTAAAGTTGTACGAATTGCAAATTTCTAAACAAGCATTCCATTGTACACTACTTCACGAATACGCCGAATACGGCGGCCGATTAGTGCGCATGGGGCATGGGCGCCAATTGGCCAATAATTATTTTACTTTTTTTATACAAGGCAGATTCATAGATTGCAGATGTTTTACTCGGTGCCGGTTGCCGCTTGGGTGGGGTTAATCAACGGGTGTTGGCTGACTGGTCGACGAAACTGGTCCGCACTGTCCGCAGTCTAATAATTAGGTTCTTAGAACATATTATGAATAGACAATGGATTACAGTACATTAATTATCTATTGACTATTGGATAATGATAATCAGCTTAAACCCTAGATAATAATATGTGAATTGTAGAGGCCTGAGACATAGTGTAAATATTCAATACTTAATAATTATTCGACAAGGTTAAATAAAATCTTAAGCTAGAAAACGAATCTTTATTTAATATTTAATATTATTGAGTTTAAAATATTGCATATTATTACACAACAATACAAGAATACAACACAATATACCAACTCAATAATAATATACTCTCGTTTTATGATAGACCCACATACCTACTTACTAAGTTAGAAATTCATTCTAAACATTATAAAATGATGATCTTTAAAACGAAAATTCAAAATGTTCGTCAATTTTAGCCTTTTAGCTACAATTATTCAAGAACTCGTATTTGAAGACATGCTTCTTTTATTTTTAAAAAATTGACGAGTGCCGATTTACCAACATGACAACATTGAACATAATATTATAATATATATATGAAACTAATTATGTCAACATACTTCAATACTTGATAATTTAACAATATTACAATAATATAATATTACAACATAATAACCATAATACCGTAGGCATTGAGATCAATATAACAATAAATAGGTTAGGCCTCGAAAGTTGAAAGTTGGTAATTTTTCATATTTTATCCAAGTTTGACAGACCAATCTAGAAACCCATTCTATATACAATTACGATTAACGAGCTTAAAAACAAAAATGTTGTACAAATATTATTTTTTTATATATATATTTTCGCATAATGCCTACAAAATACAGTAATATAATATAATATAGTATAATATTATACATAATATAATAAAAAAAAATGTTCTGTAAACACGTTATCATTAATATAATTCAAGTTGACAACAAACGTCTAATGTTTTCTCACTTTTTACTTATGTAATTTATGGTTTACGATAGTATCTTAATAAAATAAATTCTGTATACACATAGATCAGCTATTTCATACTAAAMGTATTAACTGGCCTAGTGGCCTGAATAGCTTGGTACTATGCCTCACTCGTAAAAATGTATCGAAAAAATAATTTTATATTCTTTTTTAATTCTGTGTTCATTACTTACAATATAAATACAATACAATAGTTATTCAATTACAATTTATCAGAAAGAACATAATAAGAAAGCAAAGCAAAGTATCATAATGTTTATTGCATACTTGAATGTTGAATAATTCTCATATAATTTTATTAAAAAGTTCATCGAAATTGTAGTTTCATTAATATTGTTATCCACTGGCCAAAGAAAAATGATTTGAGGGGGTGGGGAGGGTCGGGTTATACGTTTTACTGTATAACTTATACATGCCTGACATAGATGCAATTTCTGTACTTTCTTCTCCACAAATTACGTTTTGAGTTTCCTTAATATTCATATTTTGACAGCTCTAATATTAGATATTAGAAAATTATTTAAACATTATTAAAACATGTAATAGAATTTACTGTTACTTTTTTTAATAGAATAAGTTAATGAGTAAATGGGTACTCTAATAAAAAAAATTCACAAACAAAAACACTAAGGAAAAATATAAAGGCTTATACTCTTATAGCAATCTGAGCTTTCATCAAATTTATATTATCATTTATGCTGCATAAGATTATAGAAAAAACTATAAAATTGTTTTKATGTTACTTTTTTTTTTGGATAACCGGTGGTGTTAGATGTTCAGCAAGCCATCATACCACCATAACTATCATAGGTGCTTATTTAACACTTCTTAATAAATTTGGATTTAAATTATACAATACATTTAACCACATACCTACAATTTAGTATTTTTACATAACCATGTTGTAACACAATTGGTCATCCCTTTTATTTGAAGTTAAAATCACCATTTTGTTGATTACCTAAATAATATTAAAAATTTAAAAAACCACATTTTTCAATTTTAGCAACCTTAAATATCATTCAATCAAAAACAACTGATCTATTTAAGCAAGTGAATCTTCCAAACCCAACATTTAGATTTTCATTTTTAAATAGGTACTTATAAATAACTGATATACTGATAAATAACATTTTATTATGCAACTAGATATTGATAAAAATGTTGACATTTTGACTGGTATCAGTTTAATKAATTTAATTTATGTAGTTGTGTGCTTACATAATATGGTTATACAAATATCTAGGTAGGTAGTGCATGTTGTATGGATTAAAAAATTATAATAATAAAGTAATGTCACAATAAATAAAAAAAATCTCGATTTATAATAGTTATTGGTTATGAACATCACAACATTTCAATTAAAATCAAATATAATATTAACAATATTATGATTCTAATCAGTAGCAAAGCTAGGTTTATCAAACCAGGAAACAATAAGAAAATTAGTTTGAAACTATAAAATACAAAATTTTACCATAAATAAACATACATTATCCCATAAATTATCTGTTGAAATGAAGGCAGGGGAAAATGATTTGTTATTTCCACGACTTAAAATGTACTAAAAAGAAAACTAGAAAGGGTTATCATAATAAACAAGAAGAAAGAATGATTACAATTTACAACTACATGAACTGAACTGCTGTTGAAGTAAATATAGGTATTATAAAAAGGTTATAAGAATGAAAATCAACTTATGAAGTTTAGTATTTGAAATGAAAAATAGTACATTATTCAACTAAGGATAAGGTAAAAATGTTAGATGGAACCAATTGGTGAATTCCTAAACAAATCACTCAAGGTCCAATATAGGAAGTCAATTATTGTTGCAAATAAATTAATTGGAGAACTTTTAAGGACTGAAAAACTTATTTTAACGTTAAAAGTCACATTTAAAATAAATTGAATTTATTTATTATGCTCTGACAAATGCATTCTTGGCTTACATTTTGTTAATATATGAACTAACTATCCAGTTAAATTAAAAAAAAAAAAAAATGAATCACAGCCCACGTGAATAGTTATTAAAACTTAAAAATTGCTTCTTGTGAAATTATTAATGGTATCTTTATTCTGGTCAGGTATGATCTAACTTAAAAGTATTTTATACCACCAATAGTTTTTATACCTTATAGTTTGATGAAACATACATTTTAAATAAATATAAACTATTAGAAGTCATATTTTTAAAAACAATCACTAACATAGTTAAACATTGTAACAATATTTTAAATAAAAATAAGTGATTTATAATATTGTGAAAATATTTACAAAAAAAATAAACATCAAAATTCAAGACCATTTTGACATGAGGATCTGTTTAAAATATTAGGATTTAGTGCAAGTGAAACACAATGCTTTTGTGCAAAAAAAAAAAAAAAATTGTAATCGTCTAAAATACATTTATGACAATTTTTAATTCTGTACTTCTATTCTAACTAGATAATGCTTCATAATTTCATAATACTTGAATCAGCCAATATCATCAAAAATTACCTAAAATTGAGTTTGTTTAATTTGATAATAATGTGTTTAACAAAATTATTTCAAAACTGTTCATTTCTCTATTATATAGTTGGATTGAATTATCTTTTAATATTAAAAAGCTTACCAATAATTATTCAACACAAAATTGTTTGAATAATTGATTAAAAATAAGAGTTTAGATCTTCTTATTTTAAGAAAATTTATTATAAACATTTAAATAATTTTATAATAAAGATACTGACCGATTCATGAAAACACAATGTTTTATCATAATAAAATATAATAATGTTACAGTTATACAATTTATATGGATAATATTTTTTATATTTAGTATTTTAATAATCATTATCATTAGTAATTACTAGTGGACAAACTTATTTTATATAAATTAGATATTATACAATATATAGCATATATTTTTAATTTAATATTAATATGGTAGTCCTTAGATAATAACTATGATGACTAATTCTGTATAAGAGATAAAATGTTTTAATATAGATATCAAATGATAACTTTCACATTTATCATTTTAAAGTATATAATGAATGCAATACTATTTCATATGAGTAAAAAAAAAAAACAATTATTTTGGTAGTAAATGTATAATAAAATATTCGTTCAAATAATGTAGAGCAATAAATTTATTTATTTATAAATAACATAATTTTAAAAATATTATAGTATAGTTAATCTTATTATAATATAATTTGTTATTCTATTCACTGAAAAAATATACATTAACCATAACATTTTATTATTATTATTTTTAACTATAACAGATCTATGGATGTGGCTCTGAAGCTTTCAAGTTTTAAATTATTTAGTTGTTTAATTTAAATTTATAATAATTTAAATCCTAGAATTATAATTCTCAAGATATTGTTAATTTAATGTATCAGATGTTAATTTGATGTCTACAATATTTAACTCCAGTACAGCTCTTATGAAAATTTAAAAAAACTAGTACCAAATCAATGTATAGACATTGTCTATTTATGGTTTATTTATCAATAGTGTTGTAGTAAAAAGTAAACTTACTTCATTCAATAATTATTTTAATTTAGTATCAAATTGTATTATCTTCAATAGATTGATATTTCCTGAGATGTACAATTTTAAGAAAGGCTACAATAAGAGATCTGTAATATTTGAACATAAATTTGAATTAATAATAAATGGGCAAAAAAAATGTTTACCTACTTAATATTTTACCACAAATTTAATTTAAAAAACAGTTAATTTATTAAAACACTATGGTACTGGTATTTTTTCTCTATATTTAAATTATTAATGACAATATTTTTTAAGAATAATCAATAACAATAATGTTAATACATACATATAATATATAATATATATATATTTATAATATATTATAAAACAAATGAAGCTACACCTTAATTATAATCTATGCCTACACATAATTAAATTTGTTAACTAAATAAAATGGTTATTATCTATATACAAAGTACATAAATTAAAATCAAATAATCAATCAATACGTAGGACTTTATATAATTTAGGTCACAAGTAACCAATATTAAATGATTGTTAAAGACACGCACATACATACATACTCACACACACACAAATTTATATATATAAACGTATAATATTATTTGTTATTCTATAGAAAGTCCAAATATTTAAAATAAAATTATTCAAGCACAGAGTTATTAGATTATGAACATTGTTTAGTTGTTTATAATCAATATTCAATTAAATATAATTTATTTCTTTTTCACAGCAGTTGTATTACTAGCTGGTCTTCCAGAGTTTAATCCTGAATATTGATACTTCGCTTTCTTTTCAGATGGTTTCAAAATCTTAAAGGATAGAATCATAATCAATTAGTTATGTTAYAAACAATACAATTAAATTATTCCTAGTCAATAAAAGAAAGTAAAATTATAGTTGTGATATTTAAGAACTATGGATTAAAAGAATATCTTACCCATGTGTTGTCTTTATCTTATAAGTGTGTAACATAATAAATCTATGTTCGGAAGTTTTAATTAGTTTTTAGATTTAATACTAAAWTGAATTTATGTTTTTAAATTAAATGTAACAACATATTCAGTATGTGTTTTTTTTTTTTAATTTCAATTTCGAAGCAAGTTGTATTAATAAATTAAAAATTATTATTAAGTCATCTCACATCCAAATMAAAAAAAACAAAATACAGAAAATGTGTTTATAAAAATAGGTAAAAAGATCACTGTTATATTAAAACTAATTTATAGCGTTTTCCACCTTGCTGAACTTGCACTGTGGCAGTTTCCACTATCACTGTGTGAGTTTTTCGTTGTTATCACAAGTACTAACATTTAACTACTAGATATGGAACACGAAAAATTAGTATCTTGGTACATTTATAATTATTGATAACAATTATATTTTATGCAAATTGCAAAACATATTTTCGTTTCAATTATGTTGGTTGTGTTTTTCACTTTTCAGTTTTTTGTTCTAAATTTTATAAAAAAGTAGGTACTAAATAGTATGCCGCCTATCCCTATAACACAGTGACTAGTAGAATTGTATAATGTACAATAAATTAACAATTTCAAGTTTTTAAATTTTATATTTTATCAGTAGTGATAACAACTGTTAACAAAAACCGTCTCAAAAAGCTCGTGTGACAGTTCCGCACCGAGTGTAAAACACTCGTGCAGTTTTTCAAGATGGAACACATTACACTGGAATTGTGCAAACACGTTATGGTAGGTGGAACACGCAAATGACACTCAGTGAACACTTAGTGCAATAGTGCAACTAGGTGGAAAACGCCATTAGATAAATGTTAATTTGTCATGTAATGTATGTTTCTAAGGTGGTAAAATCACATGAGTGTGAAAAATTATTTAAATATATTGTTACATTATTTTTTAATTATTGCATAAGTTATAAAATTTAAGTCTTTTACCATCAGTTTTTAAAATGTTCTTAGGAGTATTATTCAACAAGATTTATCATAATTTAACACTTTCACTCTGAACTATAGGCAATTTTCAAAATTGTTTAAATAAACACAATAATGAAAATTGTGTATGGAATAAAAAACCATAATCTACATAGCAAACATAAGTAAATACACTCATATAGAACTATAGGTTACAAGCTTATAAATAGTATATTTATGATAAATAGAATGACCACTGATCTTTACTAGAAAAATATTATTTTATATCTCTTTAAAATATATTCAAAAACTTTAAATATATAACTATAAACATTTTGATTAAAATATGCAAAATAAAACAAATTGCCATTTTAATTCATTCAGTATGAGTCTAACATGGATAGTTGACAACCAATGTAATTCAAATTAAGAAAAAAAGTATGCTAATGCACGGAAAAGCTACCCTAATAACAATCAAAATCTGTATAACTTAAATTACAGTTCTTTGATTTAATTAATGTGCTTTGATCGAGAATGATAAATAAAGAATAGTAATTAAAAATAATAAGATAAAAAAATAAATATTTCTACTATTTATAGTAATAGATCAAAAGTTAATTTTTTTGGTATCGATAACAAATAAATATTAATCTAATCAAATTACTCAATGAAGAACTTACTTGGAATGAACACATTAGTGTTGCATCAACAGACATCATTCCACCTGCGTTATCAAATTCCCCACAATAGTTTGGTGCGGAGAATAATGTAACCAATTGCCTCTTGGCGAAAAATTCATAACCATCTTCAACAACCTAGAATGTATAATGTTAAAGTAAATTATAATAAAATTCAATATTTGTCATWAAAAATGTAAAATTTTGATTACCTGATGCGCTCTACATATGAGATCTAGGTCATGTCTATTTAAAAATTTTGCTACGACATCTGTACCAAAAGTGAACGAAACACCTCTATCATTTTCTCCCCAACCAGTTACATCTTTGTCCGGATCAGACCATAATAAATCACATAATAAACCTAAAACAATATAATAATAATATATTTAATTAAAAAAAAAAAATAGTATATTTATTTTAATTTAAATAATCTAATCTACTTCATTTACAGGCAAATAATTTTTCTTATAATTGCAAAATTATTTAGGACTTAGGTCTAGTTAACTTTTCTTATAATTTATTCAACTCAAGGCGATACTGTCTTGTCTAATATGTATCATAATAATAATGTGAAAAGTCACTTGGTTTAATATGATAAATACATATAAAATTAATAGTTATTATCTGCAGAATAAAGTACTCACAATTTTCAAATTTATTATCTGAGGCTCTGATATATTACCTATAAAAAAACTAACCGTAAAATAATATTATTTTGCCCCACATATAATATCAATATATCTAACTGAAATTTAGTGATTCCAATACTGGACCTCTATCACAAACTATTACAATATTATAACTACATAAAACTGTTAAGTATGGTTTGAAATCAAGATGTGCTAGACTYCTGTTGATTTGAGGGACTACAAATATTCTGGAAAGGCAATTTAAAAAGAATRGTCTCAATATTGATCGATTTTTTAATCCTATAAATACTTGAAGAAGCAGTATTATAAACATTAAAAACATTGTAAAATTACAAACTGACATAGAAATGTATTCAGAAAACTTGTTATACTGCATTTCGTGAGAAAATTCCGTTATTGTGCATACACACTGTACTTGGGTACTTTGGAAGTAGAACGGACTATCACTTCTCCATCTATACAACCCAATGCTAAGATATGCTCCATGTCAGCAAACTCTGATACAGAACAAGAATCTGACAGAAAGTCAGTAGGCAAGATTGTTCTATTGTGGAACAGAGTATAGTGCTATTATTTATGATATAATATATTATATTATTATAAGTATCATATTAGACTGAGCTTAATTTGTCTCAGCATAGGTGTCTAATTAATTATTAAATATGTACCAAATACACCCTCTTAACTAAATAATAGAGAAATTACCAGTATCTGGGACATCAGTTGGACGCATAATACGTCTAATTTGTTCCATTCCTTGTAAATCAGGACTAAGTCCGCCATGACAACAAAATATTTTCTCATCAATAATAGCCGCAATAGGTAAACAATTAAAGCAATCGGTAAATGTTTTCCACAATTTTATATTGTAACGTCTTTTACCTATATGTATATATTAAACATATTTTTATAATAAAAATAGTTAAAATTAATAACTACATTATAATCAACTTTACATTCATCATAAAATCCATAAATCCTGTTTATGCTTGCACATTCATGATTTCCTCGTAAGAGAAAAAAGTTTTCTGGATATTTTATTTTATATGCTAATAAAAGACATATAGTTTCCAAGGATTGTTTTCCACGATCAACATAATCTCCCAAAAATAAATAATTTGCCTCTGGAGGAAAGCCTCCATACTCAAACAAACGTAACAAGTCAGTGTACTGTCCATGTATATCTCCTAAATAATTAAAAATAATATAAGTATAAAAAAAATTGGGTACTTTAAAAAAATATATACAAAGTATTATTTACCACATATTTTTAAAGGTGCTTCTAAATCTAATAAAATTGGTTGTTGTAAAAATATTTCTCTAGATTTCAAACATAATCCTCGGACTTCTGCTTCAGACATTTGTACTGTTTTACCAGGTCGACATCCTCTTACTACAAATAAAGTAATTTTATGTTGTGTTATATGAATAAATGTACAATTATAAGAACAATACAATATATTTCCAATAATATACAAATTTTTGCATCTGATATTGTCCTTATAATATTTTATAACCAATAATGGACACTGAAAACAATAACATGTGATTTTAAGTAGTAAACTAAGTCTAATTGGTAACAATTTAAGAATTATATAAACCAAAAGTGGTCAACATGTGGCTCGCCTGGGATAATTTTATGGCCCACAATATTTCCTTAAATTTTTATGAAACAATTTATTGTGTAAAAATGTTTTGTTTATGTCGACTAAGCAAGCGTAAAATATTCCAGAATGTCAGCACAAACAATGTCGATGCTGCAAAAAAAAATATTTCTCATCTAATATTTTAAATAATGCATTATTAAAATAGACCACAATTTTATTTAGGTTGGCCACCACTGTCATAACCTTTCAGTTAGAATGTAACTAAAAATGTAAAAAAAAAACTTGATTTCTAGAAAATAAAATGAAATGTTAATTATCACTTAAAGGCAATTTTAAATTCAATTTTGACTGTTGAACAACAATTTATGTGCAATCAATTTAATTGTTTGATCTGTATGAATAGCCACAAAATATCAGATGGAACTAATTACAAATCTATTTTGTTTTAGTGAATAATTATGCAGCTTTTGTTAATGTTGCATATGCAAAGTCACTTAACAGTCACTTTTGGGTTTGAGATTATCTTTAATAATAATTTGAGCAATGAACTTAATAATGGGTATTAATTATTAGAGTTATATTATTTTATTTATTGTAGGTATTTACTAATTTTTAGGATTATAATATTATAAGGTACCTAGGAAATTACTTGTCTTCTGATTAACATATAGATTTCTTGACATAAATTTAAATTCCAAATTTTTACAAACTAAAATTTAAAGATTTAATGATTAAGATATCTTTAGAGTATAGGGTGCATAAGATGTATTTATTATACATTCCAACGTATACAGGGCCTGATTTTTATAAGTGGTAACCCTAACTACTTGGGGTATCTTACCATTATACATTTTTATAAATTTAAGCCTAACCTAGAGCTAAAATTCAAAAGATAATATGCTTATAAATAGGTGCATTACRTACACATTTATTGTGTCAAAATATTATAAATTACATTGTAATTAAGTAGGTGCCTTCATAGTTAACAACAAAGTTTAATTTAACATTTATAATGGATATTTTTAGGAAGCTTAGTAACAGCTAACTTTCTGCCATGTTATTTAATTCCAGGTTGCTCCAGGAGCTGCGGGCACTGCGTATATGCATTTAAATTGTCACAAATTAGGAACAATTTAAAAAAAATAACTACACAAAACTTACAAGGACCCCCAAAAAAGTATAAACTGTAAAGTTCGGGTTTGGGATCCCTAAAAATTGGTTTATTTCTTTAATATGGGAAAACATTTTTGTTTTGAATCTTAAAATAATCAATAAAAAAAAAAAATCAAATCATATAGCTGTATGAAAGTACATTAATATCACAAGTTATTTGGAATAGTTTCGATGTAAGTACTAGTTTAAATAATTATAATCGAGTGTTGTATCACTCACGTCATGTTGATGTTCAAATTATTTTTATTCTTAAACTTTTATTGAATGGGTTAAAAAATTAACTGAACTGATTCTAACTATAATGCGCTGACAAATAATGAGATTTGTTAACCTACCAGGTTGTATTGTGATACAAGAAAATAAGAATGGCAATCATATTGCTTAAGTACGAATTGTTTGTCAAGCTTACCTTCTAATAGTCGTGCAATTATACTGTCTATACTCAACGGTTCACTGTCTGCCATTGTGGACGAAAAACCTTGATGAATTTCGAATTAAACACAATTTGTTGACAAGATATTTGATTTTGTTTAGCGGTCTGAATGGATCCGTCTATCAATTGAGATTCAGGGGGTCGTACACCGCCTCTACACGTCCCGCTAACATGTAAATTAATCTTAAATAATGTGTCGGTGTGGGGTCGGCAGGAAGGYTGGAAGGGAAAAATGGCGAACACTTTCTCCCCACCATGAACACAAATAAATTTTTTTGTTTTTCGTTAAATCTAAAATTAAATTTAAATTGTGCTATAAATTATAATTTGAAGGTATAATTTTTATTTTATACCTATAAATAACAATTGCACTTTTCATTAAACAATATATTTTGTATTCTCTCGATTAACCCTGGTATTAGAAGTTTTATTTCTGTGGTTAAAGTTTGAAGGTTATGTTTGTAATCTCGATCAAAAACTTTGGGAATTTGTTGATAAGAACTGATAAAAAAAAATCAACATAACCATGGACCTTACTAAACGCATGCCATGTCGCCATGAACAACTTACAGACCGGGACATACGAGTTTACGACTCATACGAGTTACTACAAATTACAAAAGAAGGTGATCTTATATTTTAGTATATAAGTCATAGCAATCATAAAAAGAAGATCTAATCACAGAATAAATAAATTATTGAGGTATTATCTATAAACCTTGCTTGATTATGACCACGATTTAAAATAGTATTATCTTAGTGATTATGACTTGAAATTTAACGAATGGATCTTTGCAGGAAAAAACTCCGGATCCATGACGTCATTAGTCAGTGTTATCAATATTATTCTTATCAAATGCCCAAGTTTTATAAATCATTATACTACACAACTACACAAGTCACTAAAAAAGGAATTTAGAAAAACATTGGTTATAATTACAAAATAATAATTTATAATACTGAAAACGTTGAAGTGTTTCTGCTGTACACTAGGTTCATAATTGAATAAGTATAACTGTTATTGTATTGAATCAATTAGAATATGGTTTTAAAATTAATTTGTAGACAAARTTGTCAATAATGTACTTAAAATTAATCAATATTTTTTAAGCACAAAATTCTTTTAAACTATACATTTTATTAAATTACGTTCTACAGTAAATTATACTTGTTAATAATTATAAAATCATAAATAAGTTTGTATAATTGTATAGTGTGTATAAATAATGTGTAAATACTAAATTGTAAAAATATTGAAGTAGTGTCACTGGATGCCCCCTTCTATCACGCCCACATGCCTTGTAAATAATGTTATAAAATTTACTTATTGTATCAAATGTATACAGATTGTAAATATATTGTTGTTTTTATTAATAAAAAAAAATTTGTAAAAATAATGTACAATTGTGTAAATATGTAAATATAAACATTAGGTCATTAGATTACAATGATAACATTATATTTGATGGGCATTGGGCATGCCCAGTTTTTACAGACCCTCCACTTTTTGAACTTTTTTAATCCTATTTTATAAAGTATTTAATATCATTGATATTTTTTTTACATAGGTATTGTATGAATTAATTTAAATTTCTTACATTATTAGTAGTCCTTGAATCAAAATATCTATGACAAAATAAATATATATATTCTTTATCTCTACATGTTTTTGAGATAATGAGATGTTCGTTTTACATACTGGCACCCAACCTTTTTTTCAATACCAGATTTCCATTCATTGAATTAAAAATATTCCATTTGTTATTAAATAAAATAACTACACTGTAAACATTTAAATTTGAAATACTATTTGTAATAGTATATTATTTAGAATTTTAGAAATTGTGGCAAAGAGACATTAGGTAAATCGTACATTTATTTTGTCCCCGGCGTCATTCGCCGTGCATTTAATCACTATAACATTTGATAAGGACAATATTGATAACACTAACTAATGATGTCATGGATCCRGAGTTCTCTCCTGTGAAGATTCAAGATCCATTCGTCCATTCGTGAATTACTGAAATTATCAATTTTTGGGAATCGGCCGAATCGGGATTTGGCGTTTTAATATTTAAATTGACTTTGGAGATCTGGAAATCCTTTTGATTGCAAAAGYGTGAACTTTGATTTTTGCAAATGTCTTTTGTCTCGTAATTTTGTGTATTTAATTCTAAATTTTAAAAAATTTCTGTACTTTACTACCTATACATTTTTAACATAAACCTAGTAATCAAATATTACTTTTTTGTTTAAAATAATAATACTACCTAGGTTTTAACTTAAAAGCTTTAAAATATGGCGTCACTATTGCGTCAAATGTTAAGCATCAATAAAACGACAAGAATTGGATCACTTAATGCTTATAAACAATTTTTATGTACTAAATCTGATGATCCAATCCAATCTCATATAGGAAAATTAGTGAAAGGTAACAAAATCGTCGTCTTCATGAAAGGAAATCCACAAGCTCCCAGATGCGGTTTTAGCAACGCTGTTGTTGATATTTTAAATATTCACAAAGCCAAATTTGAAGCTCATGATGTACTTATTGATGAAAATCTTAGAAATGGTAAATATTTTTGGTAATTAATTTTGAATTAACCTAAGTAACAAAGTAAGATTCCATTTTACTACCTCATTATTTTTTGCAAAATCTATTCACCATTGGTGACTATAATATCCTTAAACTAGTCCTGAGTAATGGTCTGATTCACTTCAATTTTTTTTTTTATTTTACTTTGGTTTTTCAATCTTGTTTCCTTTTGTGTTTTGTAATATATGAAATGATTTATTATATTTATAGTTTAAATCATTTTTAGGTACATAGGTATTARGTACTTTTTGTTTTACATAGATTCTGAATGTAGTGAGGAATGTATTGAATTTTACAAGGATGTATGTTTCTTTTTTCTTTATATCGGTCATCACGTTTTGGAGTTGAAATGATGCTTTCGTTTTTAACTTCAGCCCTCTTTGAAAAGGGAAATTCATCTTCAAAAGTAAAAACTCCAGTAGTTATCAAAAGCGTTAGTAAAAACCCTAAAAAATAATGAAAATACTGGAAATTTTACGCATAATCAGTTATACGCACCACAAAAATGAATCAATTGAAACACTTGAAATTTTCATCAAATGTTTATTTTAGTGTTATCTATTTACGATTAAATTTTCAAAATATTTTGACTTTTTTAAGTTATTTATAGATAATTTAAATTTTCGATTTTTCCAAGTTGATTTTTTAGAAATAAAAATTTGGTTATCCAAAAAATTTTTAAAATTTAATTCAAGGTTTATTATAAGTTGTACTTATCATTGTAAAAAAAAACAATCGTAAGTCACAATTTTTGTTTATAAGCATTTAAATTTCAAATATTTACTTAAAAATTAATTACTTGTATCAAAAAAAAATATATTATAATTTAAATATAGGTAATATAATATATCCTAGACTGATAAATCATCTCTGTTCAGAATAATTTTTTGTATACAATAATACCTGTCAWTGCATTATCGTGACCTATAATCTACTATGCAGCAGAGTGATACTCAGTTGTCCACTTTTTTGTAACATACGCCAATATAATTTTTTTTACTTATTATTTAGATGGTAATATATTATGAGGAGGGAAGCTGTCCAGTGGCAGAACTTTCAATTTGATGCTATTTGTATGATTCTACAGAGCTCAAATGGAATGTTAAAATAAAACTGCTAAATAGAAGGGTAATAATGCCCAAATTGTAATAGGTAACCGATTGAGAACGTTTTTTTTTTTTTTATAATAATTATACGATCTATACTTCTTAGCATAATGAGTATAAGTGATAAGAGACAGAAAAAAAAAGACACATGGTATGATTAAGAAGTCACCCATTACTCACTAGAGAGTAGAGACTCTTTGCGTGATGGATTGAGAACCTTAAAACTCAAATCCTTTTGAAGTYGATAATAGGTGCTTTTATGTAAAAATATATTCACATAATTTATTATAACTGTTAAATTAAAAATTTGAATAAACTGAGAATACAATAACATCTGAACTGTATTTAATTGTGTTGAATCATCGTTAATTCTTTTGTGTTTTTWTTTAGGAATAAAAGAATTCTCTAACTGGCCAACAATTCCCCAAGTTTTCGTAGATGGAGAATTCATTGGTGGTTGTGATATTTTGTTGCAATTGCATAGGTCAGGTGAATTAGATAAAATACTAGAAAAGAACGCTCAAGAAAAGCCTGTTGCGTAGATTTGTAAAATTGTTATTAAATAATTTAAAAATAATGTAGTTTGAATGAACAATAAAAGATTAAAATGTATTGTTATAAACTATTATGTGTTTTATTTAGACTGAATGTATCAATATATTTTACATGGTGTTAATAAAATATTGTGCATTAAATAACTGTATACAAATAAKTTGTTGATAAAATAAATTCTTATTTTTTGTTATGATTCACAAACAAATAACCACGAAACTTAAAATGTTTATCAAATACTTAGGTATTAGGTACCTATATAAGCATTTTCTGAACATGTAGATTTTTTTATATTTTACCATATTCTTGCTATTTATAAATATTAAGTATTTTGGACATTTTTTGTTTTAGATTCTGTATATTAAAAATATACTTTGAATATTATATAATAAGTAGTCAAAATAATGCTTACATTTTCAACTTGAAAGTGGACTTTGATACAAAATTAGATCTAGTTGGTACTTATGAATTATGATAGGTCACAATTAAAAATTTTAAGTACTTTCAAAAGTGTTAGGACATTACTTAAAGGTTTTTTATCACCAAGTGATTCTTTTATCATAACTTATATTTTTGAAAAACAAAATTACTTATTACAAAAGAAGTCATTTTAAACAAATATTTAAAATTCATGTTTGGACAAAACTACATGTTAACACTAAAAATAATGATTTAAATTATTGTTTTGTGATTTAAAAATATTATTCGTGGGTAAATGAAATTTTTAGAGTATAYTATTTTACGTATCAGATGGTGTTGATGTCGACCAGACTGTAAATCTGACAGACATCAAGTGTGTGACCATTGTGAAGTTTAACCATATAATTCAACAACGAAGTTGTAATGTCCATCATAACGTACGCCAGTACAATACTCGTGTAATCCCGGCCTAATACACAATGACCTTTTTAAATGTAATTTTTTTTGCAAAAATGCATTTTACCTATCATAGTACTAACGACTAATGTAAAATAAATAAAATAATCACAATAATATCATCAAATATACCATATAATATTATAGGCTGACAAACTGTCTTCACTCAGAACCTTTTTTGTTTACAATAATTTTAAATCAATGAATTCAAATTTGACGTATCCATTGCAGTTACTCCTTTAACAAATAATGTACAGCAAAGCATTAACTACTTACCTGATGTTTTTTTAGAAACTTCAAGTCTTGATGAAATTGTATATATCCAAAAAAAATTTTAATTTTTTTAGTTATTTTGTTTGAACTCAAAAAATATTACTGCAGGTTGTGATTTGAAACTTTTCATCATCGTCTATATTAATATTATTTTCTATTCACAATAAAATTTTCAATATATTTTAACTTATTTTAAGCTATTTGTATTAAAAACTTATCCACATTGTTCTATAGACTACATGTTATATTTAAATAAGTTCAATTTAACTTAGGTGCTGCATATAGAAAATTGAACTAAACAAAAATATTTATACAAATGCATTTTATTATGCAGTTAGGTAAAGAGGATAATTTTGTGTCTCGGCTCAGAATTCATAATTATTATTWRTCATTGAGTTCAAATTTAACATATTTAATATAGTGACTTACTCAACAACAAGGTAAACTTGAATTGTAGAAATGTAGTATACAGTTGGGTAATTTAACAGGTTTTATATTAATTTCTTCAAAAAGTAATAGAGCTTACCATATCAAAAAAGTTTAAGTTTTACTATATAATTTAAACAATTTATGGTTAACTTTTATGCATTTTATGTCTGAGTAATGAAAATAATACATTTTACAGCAGTCAAATTGAGAAAAAAATATTTTTTCCAGAATTGTTTATTATTTCACTCTTACATATTGTAATTTACTAATTCAATCTTGTGCAATATTTATTTTGTGTCTAAGAAATCAATTATTTTTATTTTCAGCGAAATACCAAAATTCATTTTCATTAATGACAGATTACTAGGTATCTACCAGAAATATAACAATATTGTTCRTGTTTTTAATATTCTATTTAATACATAGCTGTTGTTGAAATGTTAKACTAGTGGTTTAAATAGTTCATGTCTCATACTATTCTTTATGAGTTGTCATACTTATGTATTTTAATGGGTGTTTAGATAACTCAATTGCTAACTATACATTTTAAACAATTGTATAATAGGTTAGTAAAAGTATGAAAGTTATATGATGACAGTTGGTAATCATTAATCTTCATTCTTTAGTATTTTGTCACGTAACTTCGACTTGACCAGGAAATGTTTGGTGTAAAGAAGGATTGCTGCTGAGAACAGTGTTAAAAAAGGCTCCAAAAAGAAAAAGACCACTGGGATGTCCAAGATTGAAATTGGTGGATAAGGTAAAAGAAGACGTGGAGAAAGTAAAGGCAGGAGAGGTTTTGAAGGAATTATCATTAGAAAGTGAAAACTAGAGACAAATTTGATAGACAGTATTGTCTTGAAAACCGAAAACCACGAAGAAGAAGACTTTGACTTACTTTAGCACCTCTAAAATTAGTAATTGTTTAATCAAAGGACATTCTTCAAACTAAAATAAATTGGAATTTAATAAGATTGTTTATAAAACTATATTCTATTTAATACTTATCTAAAAAAAWATATATATAAATAAACTTATTTAATATTTATAATAGTTATTTTAATTCAAATTTTAGTCATAAATGGGTTTTTAATTTATAATAATAAAATAATGTTATCAATATWTCAAACAGTTCAAATTTTGAAATGTTTTATAATGGTGACCTGAGATTTTTATAAGTTGAATTTAGATATAAAATATTTTGATCGTAAAAAATAAGATTTTAAAAATTATAACACTTAAAAATAGTTTTTGATTTTTATAAATAATTCATAAAATAATAACTAAAAATTAATATTAACAAAAATATTCTGACAATTATAACATTACAAACATAAAAATCATGAAAGAAATGTTTACATCAGTATACATTTTTTTTTGTTCAAATGGATTATCACCACCAATTTGTTTGTATATATATTTTTAACAAGTGCTGACTAGTTGATTAATCTCAAAACAATATTTGTTATTATTTTTTTTTTTGGCGGAGACAAAAAACAAAGGTACACAATCCTAAATAAATTCATTTTTTAAACAAAATTAAGGTTCGATGGATAGCAATAAATCATCTCCTTCCAATTTCATTCCAACACTTATATCAATTTGTTTAACAGTTCCAGCTATAGGTGATTGCACCACCATTTCCATTTTCATTGCAGATAGAACAACTAATGGAGCACCTTTTTCAACCTTATCGCCTACTTTCACACGCACATCCATTACCGATCCAGGCATTGGGGCCCCAACCTGTCCCTTATCAGATTTGGAAGCTTTTGGATGTATATGCATCTCCTACAAAAACAACCRTTTTATTATAGTAATATTTTAGACAGTTAATTTCATTAAATTAAATACTTTAGAAGCTTCATTGTCTCGTATGAACACAGACCGTAGTTGACCATTCATTTCAAAGAATACTTCAATCTCACCATTGGCAGTTAACTCTTCAGAAATCGCAAGTGTTTTAAAGGCTAATGTTTTACCTTTTTCAATTGTCACCTAAACAATTGTTACTCATTAGAATAAAGTTAATACAAATTCATGWATTAAATTAGTTCAGTAATTATTTAAAAATACTAACTTCAAAGTTCTCTCCAACTTTAGGTCCGGTCAAAAATATTCTAGTATCAAGTTTATCCACGGGTCCATATTTTTCCTTGAATGTCAGGAACTCATCTGTGACTGTAGGATAAAGAGCAGAACTCATAACATCATAATCACTAACTTTTTGGTATTTTTCTTGTAAATCAGATTTAACTTTGTTAAAATCTAAAGGAGGTAAAGTGCATCCAGGTCGACCTTCAATACGTGGCATGTCTTTCAAAACCTGTAGCAATATAATAAGTCTTAAAGATTTTAAATCATACACTTATTTTTTTTTAGAGAAATAAAAATTAAAGATATAATTTAAGTTTCAAAAGTATAATAATCAAAACTCAAAAGTAATGTGCCTATTTTTTATTTTACAYGAAAAAGCTAGAAACCAAAATGATATTATAATATAATTACAGAAAAGTAAATAGGAGTTGAGCAATAAGAAATAATCAATAATGATTTAATGAAAACCTATTAATGAAAGTGGAAAGTGACTTTTTCTTAGTATAGAAAGTATAAGTCAAGTTGAATTGATAGGGATGTAGGTAATGATCATTCATCAAGTACCTTTAGGGTTTATAATGATAAATCTTGGATTCATAGCAATAAATTCTATAATATTTTATAATTGGTATATATTATAGAAAAATAATAAAATATTAATGATAATATTAAACATTGAGAGTTAATGAAAAAAAATAGTAAATGTTATTATCTAAAGAAAAAAACCAGCAGAACAATAATGTCGTCTTATAACGTTTAGTAACAAATTATTTGAACTGTTACTATTTTATAATTTATTTAACAAGAGTGATCCAATAATAATTGATTTAGTCATTTCATTGTCAAGTAGTGTAGATCTTAGATATAAATTTACAGTAATTTAAAATATGCAAATAAAACAATATATTGAAATATTTGTTTGACAACTTACAGAAAAAACCAATAATATAATACATTAAATATTCATTAATAACTAATCAGTAATATATATATAAATATTTCATATCATGTGATATTAAAGGTTATTATTAATATTATTGTTTTTTAGCTATTCAGGCATTTTAAACTTTAAAAGTCTTTAAAATAGTTCTGCTTA